AAGACCATAGATTGGGGGAAAATATTTGGCAATGACATTTTAGACAACGGTCTCATATCTAAAATTCAGACTACTACAGGGCTCCATAAGAAAAAAACTGCTGATGCAATCAATCATAAAATGGGCAAGACATGAAAAGATTCTTCACAAAGGATGATATTCAGATGGCTAACAAACACATGAAGAAGTGTGCAAAATCACCAGCAATCAGAGAGATGCAAATCAAAACAACAAGATACCATCTCACTCAGCAGCAAGAGCAAAGTTTAACAACACAGCAAACAATATATGTTGGAGAGGATGTGGAGAGATTGAAACTCTCTTGTGCTGAACTGCTGGAGGTAAAATGGTGCACCTGCTATGGAAGACAGCTTGGTGTTTCCTCAAAAAGTTGAGTACTGAGATCTCAGACAAGGGTCTCATAAAGAAAATTTACAGAATTCTACAGTGCCTCCAAAGGAAAAATAGTGACAACGTAATTACAAAGTGGGCAAAAGATATGGAAAGACTTTTCACATAGAAAGATATATGGGTGGCCAATAGATACATGAAAAAATGCTCAAAAACACTGGCAATAAGAGAGATGCAAATCAAAACCACAATGAGATATCATCTCACCCCAGTAGCAGGGGCAAAGTTTAATAAGACAGCAAGCAATAAATGTTAGAGAAGAAGTAAAGAGATAAGAACTCTCATACATTGTTGGTGGGACTGTAAACTGGTACATCCACATTGGAAGGCAGATTGGTGTGTCCTCAAGAAAGATGAATATAGAGATTCCATATGATCTATAACACCACTATGAAGATACCCCAAAGTAAATAGAACTGAGATACAGGTAGAGATTTGTACACCGATGTTCATAGCAGCATTATTCACAATATTAAGAATATGCAGATACCCCATTATGTCCATCAACACAATGACTAGATTGAGAAACTGTGGTACATTCACACAATGGAAGACAATTCAGCAGTCAAGTACAACAATTCTGAAAAATACTATATAAGATGGGCAAGGCTAGAAAACTTTAGCTGAGGAACTAACTCAGGCACATAAGAATACCATATAAGATCATTATTTTAAAAACAGAAAGATAACCAGTAAGATAAGTATAGATATCCAAAGAAGGGGGGGCAGGGAGATTGAGGATGTGGCGGAAGAGGAAATCACGGGATCGCAGAGTTTGGTGGATGGAGGGAGAAGAAAGAATAAAAAGCAAAGTGCATGAATGAAACAATTAAAATAATAATAAGCTTAACATAAAACCAGCTTATCTACTTTTAGGAAATTCCTAAGGAAATCAGAACTGAAACGTAAATGGAGATATGTACACCTATGTGAAACGTAAATGGAGATATGTACACCTATGTTCATGTCAGCATTATACATGATAGCACGAAAATGGAAACAGCCCAAATTCCATCAACAAATTAATAGAATGATGAGAAAATGTGGTATATTTTCACAATGGAATACTATGCAGCACTAAGAAACAATAATTTCATAAAATATGAGAGAGTATACAGAGCATTAAACAGAGTGAAATAACTCTGTTACATAAGGACAAATATTGCATAAGATCACTATTAGTAAAATAGGAGGGTAAATGAACAAGATTGGCATAAATGTTCAAAAGGGGCAGGGCAGTGGAGAAGGGAGGACAGGAAAAGGAGCCGAATGGAAAAATCACTAAACCAGTAGAAATAAGTGATTGAGACATGTGCATGAAGGAACAAGAAAGATGTAATGGGGGCTTGAAGAGACAGGGTGATAAAAAGCATAGCTCAATAGTAATTATTTCTATAAAACATAATGTCCATGTATTAAACACAAGGCACATGAATGATTGTGTGTAAACCAATTTAAAAAAAAATATCAAAAGGCATTGCACTGGGAAAATCTGCTATCAAAGATCTCTTTAAAGTTCTCAAGAGCAAAGATGTCAGTTTAAAGTCTAAGATATGCCTGATTCGAACCATGGTAATTTTTTTTAAATTTTATTTTATTAATTTTAATGAACATTTACAGAGATTTTTGGATTTCCATTCATTCATTGTTGCATCTTTCTTTTTAACTGTTTCATATGCATGTAGAAATTGGATAATGAATAAGGAAGACCAGTGAAGAACTGATACCTTTTGAATTGTAGTTTAGAGAAGAATTATGAACATAGCAAGAAATGTCAAAAGAATAAACAAATTTGTCTTGGAGGAAGTGCAACCAGGGTGCTCCTTAGAAGCAAGGAAAGATGGTGAGACTTCATCTCACATATTCTGGACATACTGTCTAGAGGAGCCAGTTAAAAAAAAAGACACCATGCTTAGGAAAATAGAGGTCCAGTGAAGGATAGGATGGCCCTCAAAGATGAACTAATACAAGGGCTGCCACACTGAGCTTGAGCATGGTGGAGATTGTGAAGATGTCGAAGTATGAGGCAGGGTATCAAACTGTTTGCTATGCTAGAGTCACAATGAGTGAGAAATGACTGGAAGGCATCTATCCAACAACTAGGTTCTACCCATTCAGATATTTACTACTGTATGCATATGAATGAGAAGAATTCTAGGCTAAATGCCCAGGAATGAAGTAGCTGGAGTTTATGACAAAACAGAGTTTCCTCGGCGCTGGCTGAAAATTGCCTGTGACTTCATCCATAGCCACTGGTGAGAGTCAGCGCCCAGAGCCATCAGGGGCTTTAAG